TCCTCGTCTTCCTGTACTTCGTTTCAGTGGTAAGTTTGATTACTAATTTAATGTATTAAAATTGAAAAAAATTATTGATATTAGTAAGTGCAGGCGTAAAAAATAGAAATAATAATAAAAAAAAGAACAGTAATAATGCTAACAATAATCATTAGAGTAACAAAACTTGTTATTGATCATACAAATTATATTCATAGTTGTTTCATCCATGGTTGTAATATTAATGACAAGCAAATTATGTTATTAGCAATAACAAGACTATGATAATGTTTACTTATCATGTGGTTAAGAATAGTAAAATACACGGTGCGAATAATGATAAAACAGATTATGTGAAAAATTATGTTATTGTTAACTTTTGCTTAAAATATTTTATTATGATTGGATGATATCGTTTGAAATCATTAGCCACAAGCCATAAGCTATTCAAATAAAAATTCCCCATAGCCAAGTTTTATTAAGTATAGTCGGTTAAAATTTCAAGCACCTAAAGAATACATTTACCGTTTATTGCCTCAAAATGGATAGCAGTTATTTGCTAAAAGAATTCGTTGAAAAATTTTTTTGAAACCAACTTTTGCAGTTTTTACATATTGTATTTTAAGCGAAAAGAAAAAATGATTTTCTTTAAAATTAATACTGAACAGAACGAAAAATGGATAATTTAAATAGAAATTCAATTAAAAAATGCATTTTAAAAATAATTTTAAATTGAAAAACTAAGGTGTTAATGTCGACAATTTTTCATTAATTATTAGCGCAAGTTAAAATGCTATTAATGCAACGGATGTTTGAAATATAAATTTGAACAAAATTATTCCTTTTATAGTATTATTTGCTCAATGGAAATACTTTTTTTTTTAATGTTATTTCTTTTTTAACATATAAATCACATATATTTTTTGGGTATTTAGCAAAAATATTTTATATGCATATTTGTTTTGTGAACAGAAAGCGGAAATAATCTGAGATAATATTTCTATAATGGCATTAAAAAATGTTTTCGTTTCTTTTTTCTTCCATAGAATTTTTTGAAAAAATACAAAAAATAATTTACATTAAATAGGAAATTTTGTAACTTATTGTTAAATATAGTTTGCTGTATTCACCGTATACTTCCTCCTTTAAATTTTTTGAATTTCATTTATTTTTGTTATTCGGTTCTATTTTTAAACATGCATGAAGTCGTTGTCCCGAGAATTACAAATGTTATTCAATGCGATAGTTTTCGGATGTTAATAACAATAGGACATGTTGATTTTATAGCAATGAGATTTTAAATGCATTTTTAATTAAAATGGGAAAATTTTTGATAATAAAACGATTGATCAAAATGACAATTGAATTGTAACATTTACCAAGATAGCATACATGTTACATAGCATAATAGCTTTAATTTTTTTTTTGAGATTTCAAGATTATATGTAATAAATTTTAAATTTTATGTAAGTAATAATTAAATTTTATTTTAATGTAGACTGTAAACTGCTCATTAATCTTCAAAAAGTGCTTATGAAATCTTTGGATTATTTCGAGAATATGAAATAAATGAGTTATCTTTGATTAGTGGAACAAGCTAGTCCAAATGGCAGTTATCACCGTTCATGCTTATGCAACCTTTTCAATTATGAATTAAAACTTGATAGATATGCAGTGAAAATCGGAAAAATTGAGCCTAATTTTGTGCAGAAATCATCAAACAATCAACAATAGAGAAATAAATAAGATTGTAATTGATATCTTAATTAACATAACAATTAAATTTTATTTTTTGATATATCAGTGTTCATTAATCAAAAATCATTTAGTAAAATTTTGCTGTTGATGGCTGTTGAATAATGAAAAAATAACTTTATTGTAATTTACATTCCATTTTAGATTTTATCACTTCTGCTGTGTTATTACTCGGGAATTTATTGTCACTATTCAAAATGTTGGCCATCTTGGTTTACCAGAAATCATCAACGTGTTCAGGTTATTCTTGCTAATTTATTTAACCATTGCAATAATCACATTTGCAATCACTATCACTAATATATCATTATATTATCAATATTTTAAGAATTATGAAATAATCGCAGTTTGAATTATAAGAAAATGAGTAAATGTGCTTGCTAAAGTGTATATGCATTACTTTTCCATGATTTAATATAATTTGATGTAAAATTAAATAAAGTTTAGGTTGTTCTACATTCAGGATTTAAATATTTAACTGTGATACTACATTATGATAATATTAAATTATTTGCCATTCTTGACTGAAATCTAAAATTAGTGCTAAACTTTTCATTCACATATAATTTTCGCAAGAACTAAATGCAATTTCGCATGCATTTCTAAGCGCCGCTTTGCAAGAGATGTGCAATGTCAGACCTACTACCCACGTGCTATTTCATCATATGCGTGAGATTTCGCAATATCTACGTGTGATTGCACACAACCTACATACAGTTCCACCATTTTGTATTCAATCGTCCATCATTAGCATGCAATTTCGTAGTATCTAAATGCAATTTTAATAACATCAAAAAGCTAAACTTCGAAATTTTTTCGTAAAATCGATGAAAAATCTCGGAAAAATATTTCCGCAGCGATATAAAAACATTTTGCGACATTTAGCAATCGGCGTTTTGTTATTCGCAATCTTTTTTTTTTTTTTTGCAATTTGTTTGCCATCATTGTAATGAATTATAAGTTCTATAATAGTTTTCATATTTTAGGAACAAATACAATTCGTAAAAGATTTGGACAGTAAGATGAAAGAAAAAAGCGAAATTGATTCAAGCAGTAGCTATCAAATATTTGATTTATTTGTGATGTGTACAGCAACGGTTATCCTATTGCTATCACTCATTTGGTTACTTGCTAATTCAATATTTAAAAAAGCCGAAATTAGGCAAACATATAGTAGATTTGTAAGTTCTATCATTTTCTTAAATGAATATATAAAAGAAAAAGAAAAGAAAAAATATAAGAAGTTGGAGAAAAAAGAAAATAAAAGAAAGAATATTGAAACGAAAAAATTTATTGTATTAACTATTGTTCATTTTCCGTGATTTTTGAATCAAATATTGAAAGTGAATTCATTGAATACGAACTGAAATAATAGCAAAGTAATAGCTTGTTATATTTCACAATTTTAATAAATTAAAAAGAATAGATTAATAAGAAATTTTAATTTCAAAACTGAAACGGTAGATTCAATAAGAAGGAAATTTGTAAAACACGATATTATTGCTTTTCATATCATGCCTCAATCGCAGAAATAATTATTTCAACATAATAATAAATAAGTTCTAGGTCACTTATTAAAACATTGAAGTTCAATAATTGCAATGCCAGCCAAAATTATTAGCTTAAAAATTTGTCAAAAAAAGATTTGAAATTTAAAAAATGATATCAGGAAATGCCAACTGCTGTGACATGCTCATTATTCGCTGGAATTTCTGCCGTTACCGAATTTCATCATTCCATCAATTATTCATTCTTACATTGGAGTGAAAAATGGACATTTGCTGGAGTAAGTAATCATTATATTATGGAACTGTTAAAAATTGTAAAAATTTTGTTCCTTGCAAAATATTCGCCTATCAATTTTTAGATTGATGCAACAGCGCTATCATTTTTGCATGCAATTATTGCATTTGCATTACATTAATGGATGGTCAATTATTAAAAAAGTACAAATTAATTATCAACATTATCATTCTTTGAATATTTGATTACTATGAGAAGAAAGTTAGAATTATTTAAAAATACAATTCGCCAAGTACAATGATTTTCTGATCTGCTAGAACTGAAAGATATCTTTTGATATAAATTGAAGGGAATAATTGTCAGCTGACGTCAATTTCCGATGGTACAGAAGCAAAATTGCAACACGCAATGAGCTAATATAACCTCGACCCCGAACTAACACATTGCAACAAGAACGATGCTTTGAAAGGGGTATGTTAGACCTTATCAGGTAAAAGACTCGGAATTTCGACTGCTATACCATCATGTCAAATTTTATTGTAATTAAATTAGTGCCGGTTTCTTTAGTTGCGATTTTTTTTTTTTTGGATTGTTATTATCAGTCATGTGCCTCCTCTTTTTTGATGATTTGAATAAATCCATGACTTTTTTTTTTCGAAGGGTACGAAGGAGCGTTATTAATACGAAATGCCTCTGCATTCCTCAATTGGGATTTTGCCAAAACGACAAAGGTGAATATAATCTAAAACACATGAAACCTGTATGATGTATATATGCTATCCAACGATAATATAATAAACAAAGAAGGAAACAAATATATCAGAGGAATTAGAAATATATCAAGAACGAGGACAATCAAAGATTAAGCATTATGCTTCAACAAAAACAAAATACCCCATACAACATAGGTGTATGGAAGTCTTGCGCATTTCAAACACAACAACAATATGAATGATACTTTTGAAGGAATAACAACAAACAACAAGTACCATTTACCCGCGTCAGAAATAGAATTCAAAATTCGAAAAAAAGTGCATAATCCTACAGAGAGAACAAAAAAGGAAAAGAAATAGCAAATGCATAATATTCATGCGCTGTTACTGGTCGCTCGAACATCGGTTCCATCAAATGAATACATCTGTATTTTTAGCTGAGTTATTATCTAGTGCTAAACAACATTAATATCATGTTCTAAAATACAAAAGATTATCTCGGAAAATTCCACTTCCTCCTCCAGAAAAGAACATATTGCAGGCGTGAAGTTGAAAAAATATAACAGCTTGATAACAAAGGAAAAAGATGGAGAATAACAGAAACAAGAATGCAATATTAGACTTTTAAAGTGCATTTATCGACTGTCATTTGCAACTTAATTTTGCGAAAATATCAACATCATTCAATTGGTTCTTGTGGTTCATGTCAGTGGTGACATCATCCACATGTCAGTTAGACCGATGCAAAGATCCATTTTAAAAGTTAAAGTGATGAAAGACGTAAATCATACATAATTAAAACAGACAACACTATGATTTGAAGAAGGAACCAAGACGAAATTCAAAACTACTGAAATCTGCCATTCCATCGAGGCCAGCTGCATCATTCATTCCTGGACATTTAAAACGACCACTTATTTGACCTGTGATAGGACTTTCTTGATCGGATTTTGAGCTGTGACGCAGAAAATTTTCCAACTGTAAGTAAGATATTTAAAAATTCTATTATTGATAATAACTTAATATATCTATCGTGTGTTTTTTTTTTCAAAATTGTTAACAAATATCAGTGTTATAAAGGTTTACCATTGCAAGCATATGAGGCATAATAGGACCATTCTCCCACTCACAGACGTAAAAATCAGAGCCACCCTTCGTGATCTCTCGATATTCACACTGAAGAATTACCATTACTTAGAGAAAAATTTCGAAAAAATTTTGAAATCTCTAGAAATCAATGGAATATGACAAAAAAAATGCTTACCTTCAAATTCTTCAGTACTGAATTTAAAAAGGGTTGTCTGTCCAAAAGTGTCGGTGGAAAACCAGCTTGTGGCCCAGTCGCAACGCGCCCAAAATTCGATGTAGTCATCATATTATAAAGAGCCTTAAAATATCACAAATTACAAAGTATATTTAATAGAAACTCATGTTAATGAATATTGCAGGAGTTTTCATAACGGAGAATATGAAAAATGAAAATCAAAGGTACCGCAATACTATCTAAATCGTTTAACACAATTGCACTTTTCCTGTTTTCATCCATGAAATCCGGATCAAACGATAACGAACGTTCATAATCCAGAGAATGGCTTGACATGACCGATTTACTGCAAGATAATTTCTCATATGTACTTGAAAAGCAATTGGAAATAATAACCAAACATGAATTTCTCTATGGCGTCTGTGAGGTTTTTGAAACTATAAAAAAATTTAATTTTGAGAAATCAATTTTTCAATTTGAATTGTAAAGTTCTCAACAAAACGACCAATTATTAATTATTATCTTCAATATTACAATTTTCACTTACTTTCGTGCAATTTTCAAGGTTTTTTTTGGCGATATACCTATTCCTCTCAACCATTCATCATTATCTGTATCATTCGAGCTGTTCAGATCATCCGAACTAAAATAAAGCTTAAAAGAATAATTTAAAATAATGGAAGGATTGGATGTAAACAGAAGTGCACAGTAATGTAACACGTAAATAGGGAGGTGCATTTCATCCTAAATACTACCATATTTTCAATAGTAAGCAATATTTCTTGCTTAATCTCTCTGCTTTTTTCCCGAATATCATATAATTAAGGAATCAAATAAACAATAGTTCATCACTAACTTTTCGTCTTCCTTATCATTTTTTTCTTTCTCCCTTCTATCGTTTTCAATTTGATTATCTTTCAAATCACATATTACAACAAAATCATCACGCTTTTCAGAAAGGGAACTATCTGATGATATCCATGACTGTTCTTTCTTGTTATAAGAAGTTAATAGTGGTTGACTTTGAGTAGTACCCAACAAATTATTATCATTTAAAATTGAATGTCTGGATGACGAATTTCGTAAGCGACGTAATGGCATCGAATATTTTATACCTAAAATTACAAATACTTTACTGGATGGTAGATCGAATTGGTTACTTGTTTAGCATGATCGTTTTAGTATAGTTGTTAACGATCATGAAGAAACCTATAGTACTCATTCCAATAATTGATAATACCTTGCAAATTTTGTAATTTTCAATTTTCAAAATATATAAAAGTATTGTTACACAAATAGTATATATGAATAGAAATTCCACAAATTATCAACCATCTTCTCGTAGCTGTTGACGAAATCCATATGATGTGGGTGTTATAACAACCCGAAAATTATATTTTTCATCGCTCTTGCTAGAATTATCATTCACTTCAGCGATGCCTTTCGAAGTTTTCCAAAACAATATCGTATGTGTCGGACAACAAACGTAAAAACACTGCCGCTTTCCGAATCGCCATGAATGGTAGAGTTGTTCAAGTGATAAAAACCTGTTGAATTATAAAATTAAGACAAAAAAAATTTTAACTACATTTTATGTTAAAAGAATCAATAAAAATTAATAGTTAAGAAGAAATAACTGGCTTCGTCGTACCATTGCATCGTTAGTGCTTGAACCAATGAATCACCAAGTGTATGTAAACTTGGCACAGCAGGATTTCGCACAGTCATCAATCGAGAATCACTATCTAGACGAGGAAATGACGGCTGCCACGCTAAATCTGGAAACTGCCAATAAAGAGTGCAGGCCAGAAATTTGGATAAGTTGCTCACCGACCTTCCACTTGTTTCTAATGCCATCTGAAATGTCACACTTGTGTTAAAACGATATTCCAACAAAACAAATTGTGCACAATTGATCGATCACCATTTTCTGATCTGATACAAATCAAAAGAAGACTGAACAATTTATCTACTAATGAATTTGAAAACTTTAAATGATAGGGGTAGTAAAATTTATAGATATCTGTAGTGCTAAAATTCAAGATGACTAAATATAATACTTGAACTCCTTATGCTAAATACAGCTGATAGTTCCAAACTGTTTACATCTTACCTCATTAATTCCACCTTGCAACGAACAAAACAGCTTAACTGCATCATCATAAGCTGCTGAAATATGAAAAAAGAAAATAACCTCAAAAAAAATTAACCAGAAAACTAACAAATCATTTCCTAAATTTTTTTCTCTATTTCAGATGTAAAAATGTTGCTTCTTTTTATAAATCTAAAAAATTCTTTAAAAAATCTAAAGAAATGCCCGATCATAGAAAACCTAGAATTCAAGTCCAGCAACCGGTTAGTCAGTATAAAATTAAGTAATTATAACCTCAAAAAAACTCTTTGAATTTTCAAGGAACAATATAATAGTTAAGTTTATATCCAGGATCTTCAAGCATTTATTTTATAGAATGTGTACTACTTGTACTTATAACTGAATCCTTTAAAAAGTTTTACCGATCCCTTTTGATTTTTCCAACCAGAAAAAACACTTTGGTGATTCTAAGCGTAATTTAAGACCAAGTCGGAGATCAACTGGAAGTGAGTCAACTTTTGTCTTCGATTCTTCTACTCTTGAAGCTTTCTTTTTTGGAGTTGAACAACTGAATTCATCAATGCTTGAGAAATCAATTGGAAGTGATCCTATTGTGGAAGTAGTAGCAGTACTAATGGAGATACTGTTATTTTTCTGCAATGTACATAAATATTGATGTTCCACACTGATAAGGCCATTATTTCTTGGAGATGCAAAATTTGGTAATAACCCAAAATATCCAAAAATATCTAATTGGGAACTGTAGTAATTCCGCTTTATGAAATGTAAGTTTCAGGATCAGTTTCTGGAAAATAATATGAATTTTCAGAAAGGTAAAACGCTGAAACGAGTTTTAATCATTAAAAGGACTAAAATGATTGAGCAGAAAGGTTACACCGGTTGTGCTTGTCATAGTACCAATTCCAAGTAAAAAAAGTGACATAAGAATTTGTTACAAAACATACAGCTTCGCTTTTTTTAGGCATGGAAGTTTTTTCCATCTTGTCGAAAACGCTTAGTGGAAATTCCTGCAATGCGTTACTGTCCGCGATAAGATCAACAACTGTCGATAAAACATCAGCGTCATCATCATTGATTTTCTTCAAGATAGGATTTCGGTTGAATGATCTTTTGCAGGATGCTCGCTGTAAACCGCATGCCATGTGGTTGGATGGTGGATAATAAATCATACATTAAATGTAATACGGAAAGAGTTAAATTAACCTCTTTATCAAGAAGTTAATAAAGGAAATAAAACGAATATTGATTCTGATGGCTTTCTAAATTCAAATTTACTCCAAAAATATTTCATAACAAATTGTACTAAAAATTAAAATTGATAGGTAAAGCAAAATAGGCAAATAAAGTAAACGATGAAAGAAAAGACAATAAGTGGAAAATACTCTAAATGGATTCATTATAAATGAGTCAACTCCTTGAGACATCCTCGTCGAAAGCATCGAGAATCCTTCATCAGCCTCGCTATCATTGGATAATTGTTTTAAAGATGATGATGACGATGATGAAGATGAAACAGATAACCCTCGTCTGAAATTATTAGAATTCTATATTTAAAATTTTAAAACTTTTGTTTAAATTTTTAATAAAACTGGTACTAACAGAAAAAAGAATTTTCTGTAATCAAATTTCAAATATTTAACGGTATAAAATGCATCTATAACTTGTATCACTTTTCCTCCGATTTTCATTGAAAATGCTACCTGTTCTTGTAGATTCTTCTCTTAATAACATCACGGGGATTTTTCCACGTTGCATTTCTAAGTGAATGTTTGTTAGGATCATTCATTGTTAAGCTATGTTACCATAAATTTTTAATGCATCATAACTCATCATAAAGTTTGGAATACTGAAACAACCAATTTTTTGCATTTGTTGAAATTCGATGAAAAAGAATAAACTATATCCGAATACTCTCACATTAATCATAAGAATCTTGAATTATACAAGATGAATGAATGCACTTTTAGCTGTAATTTCAGGTAACATAAAAGTGATAAAAATAAATGTCAAATAGAAGGCTTCCAAGACAGCCAAAAAAAAAATGCTTATTAAAAATTAGAAATGAAAAAATATCAGTAAATTATTGCGATCAAAAAGTCTAACTAGTAGCTGATAACATAATATTTAAGAAAAGATGCTGTAGAAAAGAATGCCAATTACAGGAAAAACGCAAGGTAGGGAGAATGATGAGATAATATTCCTCAGTTAAAAACATGCATTGAGTAGATGAAAAAAAAAAATGTTCAAAAGTTTAAAGCACATAATTATAGCATAAAATAGGAGAAAGCCATGAAATTTAATGCTATAATTATTAAAAGATTAGCTTTGACATTTACACATTGTTGTCTAAGATTTTATTCTTTCTTATTCAAACCACATCAGCCTGAAGGAGAAGAAAATAACAAAATGCACAGTTACCTCGATTTAGTTCCTTCAATTTAAAAGTCGAAAAAATTTAAAATTCCGGAATAAGCAATTAAACTCTTTCGGAAACCAAACAAAAAAGCATAATTTCAATTTTAGGAGAAAGTACTCGCCCTTCCATACAACTTCAAAATGAAAAAAAACCACCAAATTGCAGGAGCTCATTCGTTATACGGTGGTTAAGTAAGTAAAGTAAATTGATTGTTGTATTTCAGTGGGAAATTATCGCTGAAAAACAAAAGAGTGTAAAAAAAAAAATAATATTCACTTTACTACTGCTTCCAATCACTAATTAATTATTCATCGTTATTCATCAGTAAGGTATTTTTACTAATATTACTCTTGTGCATGCAAAAATGATACTTTGACCGGATCCGATCCGAATGAAAATTCATGCCAGTAAATGATTGTCATTACTATTCAAATATTTCAAAATCAATAGTTTACAATTTGAAATGATACATTTCTTTTTTTTTATTTAGAAATATTCAAACAAATCTCTATCATTTATTTCTGAATGCTAGCAGTAATGATAAAGTGAATAACGACTGAATTGGAAATTTAAATCAGAAGCAAGAAAAAAAAATTGTTAATAAAGTAAGTGTAAGTGAAAAAAGAAATTGATGTGGATAAAAAGTGCAGAATGTTACAAAAAAAAAGCATTGAAACAAGTGAAATATTGGAAGAATAAAATGAAAATGGTTGAGAGATGATAGGAAGTAAAAATTTTATTTGATGTTTCCTTTTTTTTTTTTGCAAAAATGCAAAATATGGAAATGAAGATTTTAATTTCCCTGAAATTCTTTGTTCGTTTGGAATTTTTAAAGCGCTTTAGAATATTGCAATTTTTGTATATGAAAAAAATATTTTGCAGTTACAAATTTGATGTGATTTGACAAAATTAAAGTCATTACAGATTGTACGACAGAAATTTAGTCAAATTAAATACGCCAAAAACCTAACTTTGCATGGAAATGGAAATAGTCGAATAAATTACCAATTTAAATTAATTCGAATCCGCCCAATTTTATTCAATTTAATAAAAAATGTGAAATAGAATGGACAAAGCTGCATAGCGGTATTTACTCATAAAAATGTTTAAATATTAATTAACAGATATCAATAGAATATTTTGCTATTCGATGTTGATGTTCCAAAGCAACAAAATAATGAAAGAACTGAATTCATATAAAATTCATTTATGTAAAATAAATATATAAAACTTATTGTAAGAAGTAATTTACATATTTGCTCATTTCTAGTTTCTACTCTTACACATTACTATTACTTTTTTTTTCAATACAAAAAATTTTAAACTCGTTACGTAATTAATGAATAACTTATTTCATAAGCTTGATTTTTCTTGACTCAAATAAAAGACATATATGTAATGGAATTATAATATTAATATCATATAATATTTATAATGCACTGCATAAATATGGTATCTTGTAAAATTTCTGCATTTGTTTACATAAAAATGCACGTAAATTTTCAACTGCAATATGGGAAATGATGGAATTGAATTATTCTTTAAAAGTGAAATGATTGAGAAAAGAAGAAAAAGTTGCTCGAACATTTTATGTAGGAGATACTTTTTATTACACTGTAATCAATGTCCTTTTATCAATTTGTTTGCCGTTTCTATCATGAAACAAACTTTCCATAAGTTTTGAGTAATTGTAATATAAAATTAAAGTGCAACTTTTTTAATATTAGTAATTTTGGTTCAAATTTCTTGCACACATCTATGAATGCATACATATCCATATATGTATGTGTATGTGTGGTACATGTGTGCATTTGTATGTGTTTGTATGCGTGTGTATGTGTGGTATGTGCGTGTATGTGTGCATATGCGTATGTGTGTACGTGTGTGTGTGTACGTGTATGTGTGTCTGTATGCATGTGAATTTCTTTATTTAGTTGATTTTTTTTTAGAATAGTATGAATAAAGATGTTAAATAATTAATTAATTATATTTTTTTTTCGAATTAATGAAACTATCGAACGACAGATAATGCATGAATTACAAATTGGTCTACTTAATTAATAATTTAAATGATTGAACTGATTAAACTGATTAAACCAAACTTGCTAATTGATTGTTTAAGAATAAATGAATTGATGTTGAGCTAAAATTTTCTTCCTCATTAAATTGATACGTTATGATTTTATATCTTTATAACATTAAAAAGGAAAGAGAAAGAGAGGAAAATATTGTGTAAATAATAAGAATTTCAAACGAAAAAAATTACAAGGAATTCTTGAAAATCAGAAATGATGGAATTTTAAAAACTAGAATGAATGAATGTATTAGTTTATTTATTAATTAGTTTATTTAATTAACAATTAAAATGATGAAACTGTTAATTGATTATTTCACGATATAGTGAAAAGGAAAAAGAAGTGAAGACTAGAACAGTTGAGCAATGAACCGATTGTATTTCAGCAAAATTGGAAACAAAAAAAAAAAGCGAAAAATTGAAATAACTGAAGAATAATTACATCAATGATACTTAAAGCGTTGCTATAAATAAAAACTGCAATAATTTTCATTGATCAGTTTCATATTTTCAAATTTAATGGGCCCATTTTTTGCTACCATACGTCAAAACTTTTTTTTGCTACTAAAGAACCGGTTTTACTCTTCGTTTTCCAATTTCTGTATTTTCTTTCAATTTGAAATGAATATAAGAGTCATTGATAATTTTCGTCATCATTTTCGCTATTTTTTTTTAGCCATTTATGACTTTTAAATTTTGTGAATACAAAAAGCTGAGCACTAAGCTTGATTACTTTGCAGTTTTATTTAATTCCAATTTTATATTTGAATTGAATTCATAATATTAGAAGCATTCATCGATTAACCAATTCATATTGTCCATTTTTTCATCTTTTATTTAAACGAGCAGGATAGAAGTGATAGTAATGAAAAATTGAAAATCTTCAGTAAATATGAAATTTCAGATTCAATTATGGGTATGATGGTACGAATATCATCAAGATCTGGTTATTTAATTAGTACTTATCCATTATTAACAATTGGTACATCATTAGTACTTTCGTTTTCAATTATTAGCATACTTATATTTAATCCTTTTATTATTGAAACAGATATACGACATGGATTTGCATATCGAAGCAGTCGTTCAGTTTTAGAATTTCAGGTAAAAATTTCTCAAACATATAGTTTTATAATTGTAAATGATAAATTTATAATGTAAGTGATAAATTTATAATTCTACAATTAATAACATTAAATCAAAAGAAGAAGAACAAGGCAAAACATAATAATATGATGATAAAATTTGCTAGTCATTAGTAAGCTTAATTTTCTAAGGACAAATGAAATAGCAGCTGTGATAATGAGAATAGCTGAGATATTAGTATTGATAATACTGGTAATAATAATTACTATTACAATAATAATCGTTACAATGTTAACAATTATCATTCCTGAAATTATCATTTAAAAAATAATAGTAACAATAATAATAAGCATTAGTGATAACAGCAATTAATAGTGATGAATTTCTTTTTGTTAAATAATAATTCGAGATTTGATTTTGAATGAAAAAAAGAATTCAGAAATGTTTAATATTTATATTTGAAACTAAAACCAAGGATTGAATATTTATAAAATTTTTTTTTTGTGTAAAAACAACAATCAACGAAATGATGTTATGGTTTTTAAAATACCGAAGAAACATTTGAATGAAAGGATGAATGAAGAAGGTAAAAAAGCAATTGGAATATCTCCATTCTGATTGCCAATTTTACAGCGTTTCGCGGAATTTTACAATGTTTCATGGCCGGATTTAGAAATGATGGCTGTTTTGATCCAACCAAAATATTCGAATGAAACAATTCTTCAAATTACACCTCAATTATGTAATGAAGTAAGTGAAAGTTGAGTAAGTATAATTTAATACTTTCTTATTTTATCAGAAAGAAGGAACTATTTAAAGTTGGACTAGTTAAGTCATCAAATCAGCTCAAATACTTTTTTAACAATAGTATTACTTTACTACTTTCGTTAATCACTTTTGATATCTGCTCATAAACAATGATAATTAATTTCACTGTGTAAATTATTGTGATAATAGCTCCATCCACTGCAACAGTTAGCAATTTTCTCATAATAACTGATAAAAGCTGTGAAATAATGCTAAAAATATTTATTGTTCAGAATAAAAAAGAAACAATTTTCATTTTTGTTTAAAAAAAAATTAAAAATCAATCAGTATAATTTGATAAGATATATTAGAAAACGATGTTATGATCAAAATGCTGAAATTGAAATTTGAATTTAGAAATTTAAAAATTAAGTTATGAATTCAAAGAAACAGCAAATGATAAGACGAAAAAGGAGTGCTTTTTTTGAACTTTTATAAAATTTGGAATCGAGCAAAAATATTATCGATCTGTACTCAAATTGATTATTAATTTTTATGCAAACTTTAAACAGAAAATAAATGCAAATAAAGGGAACAATAAAATGTTTGAAATACTTCAGAAAGTTAAAAAAATAAAAAACTCCAGCGCCAATGAATTATCAGCAAAAAAAGATATTAAAAATTAGTTGAAAATGTTTCCAATTTAAGTTACAAGTATTATTTCGAGTTCATATCTTAAGAAATTAATTTTAACAATAACAGGCATGCTAATTGAATGAACTTTTGCCAGTTTTAATGCTATATTTTATATGTAAAAATAACCATTCTTATTTATGACATAAAATATTTCATTGATATTAATGATCATAAAAAATGATAACAGAAAAATTTTTAGAAAAATTTTTTTTATTTTTCGAAAATAATTCTAGAAAAGACGAAAAGTAAAAATATGTTTTATGGCATTAATTGTTAACAAATGTTATTAAAAATCGAACGGCATATTTCTGAATGTTTTCCATTGATATCGAATATTTGAATATCGCAAAATAAAAATGAAATGTTCGATTACTGATACAACTAATGCTATAAGAGAATCAAAAAATTTATCAATAAAAATCAAAAAAAAAAAAGTAAGAAAGTTTGATTAAATTTTTGTTAAATATCCATTAATTCGCCTAGATAATTTTTTTCGTTTCATTTTTAAACAACACTGCAAAATGCTAAGTATTTTTGCAGCAAAAAATTTAAGTATAAAATTTAGAAATGCCACAAGTAAAAATTGTTAATTAAGTATGAGAAGATAAATAATTTAATCGATTAAAATAATCTTCGTTTTTATTGTTTTTGAAAAGTGGCATTAAATTTTAGGCGTGACTCAAATATTAACTTATCATTAATTCATCTAACTGCATTAATGTTTTGCTTAAAACTGACTTATCAACCTTATATTTCAGATATTTCATTTTCATCTTTATCGAATTTATCCACTGTTAAAATGTAAATAATTAAATTTCACAAAAGCTTAGAAAATATATCATATGGTATTATTGTATACGACTCATTTAATTGATCTAAGCGATATTTCATTGAAACAATTTTTTTTCTTATTTTTTTACAACACAATTCCAATTTATCATTTAATTCCTTTAATGTCATCTAATGAATTGGAAAATTTTTTTTTAAATGACTTTGGTTTTGGGTTTTTATCACACTTTCTTACAAATTTTTTTCCATCTTTCTTTTCTCAAATGTAATTATTTTTTCATTACCCCTTAAACGACTTATCATCTTTATTTTGCAGTTAAGCTTTTATCATTTATTATTAAAAATTACCATTTTATTTATAGATAATTTTGGAATTTTTTTCTTTCATTTCATTGTTTAAAAAAGCAGTTATCAATAATAAAAATTGCAGGCATGAATTTGTAATTTTTAGATAAAACAAGTTGAATTACTCATTCAGTCATACGAAGTTCCGGATAGTAAGAAACCAATTAAATATGATGAATTTCGTGTTGCTGGTGGTAATCTTAATTACTTCTTCGATGCTTTCAAAGTATGAAATTATGCATTTCGAGAAATCTTTTTATTAACTATCATACATATGTATTGTTACAATTTCATTACAAATAGTTATGGGAGTAATTTGTAAAACAGTTTGGCCAGGAATGAAATCAAATTTTGAATCAATCAGTTTCATCAATACTTCCAATTTCTATTTTGTTTTATTAATTAGTCATATTTGTAATTTTTGTTTACTTGCTTATTAATTTTTTTGCAAAAAAAAAAGATTTATTATTAAAATTGATAAAATACTCTTAAACAAATTATTCCTAGCTTTCGTGAATATCGTTGAAAAATGTAAAAAATTTAATTAACTATGGTGCATTGGAAAGAGTTTTAATATTGTCAGTTCTGCTAAAACGATATTGTTATTTCAGTTTGGTTATGACCTTATAACTGTTAGCAATAAAACCGATGGATCAGTTGTGTTAACATATCCGCATGGATCAATTTTTGGACATCAAATTGCTTTATCATCACACTTCTTCGGTGTTAAAACTATTGAAAATTATACAGAACAGGTTCTCTTATATTATTGCAAGAAAAAAACAATGTAACTAAATTTCAAGAAAAAAAAAATCACAAATTGCAAAAATTTCAACTTTTTTTTTTCATTTCCTTTATTTTTTTTCCTAATAAAGTACGATGAAAAATTAAATTATAATGACATTATAAAAATTATAAAATTATAACGATAATAAAATCTTTACAATTGTTTCGGTAATCATTTCATTCATATCTGCTATTTGCAAAGATTTTACTTGATCAGTGATAACTATTAAAATATAACTTTTTACTCTGAAAATTTAAAAAAACTGAATTTCTTTGAGGGATTACCGACATCAATGGAATCGGCTACAACAATTGCATTGTTTTATATGCTAAAAGCTCGTGGATTTCCACAAAAATATCGCTTGCGCCAGTGGCAACTTGCATTGCATCGTTTAAGTGAAAATGGAAATTACTCGAGTTCATTCATTTTTTATATTTATGGTGATCAGGTAATTTTTAATTGAATTTTGAAATTTAATCTAATAGTTAAATCTAATTCTGATCCACAGTTTAAGTTTAAGTTTGCTTAAATGTTCATATATTTATTTTAGACATTTGTATGTTAAAAAAGTTGAAAATTAAAGAATAAATACTGATTTTTCCGGTATGCGCTTGTTTTCTATAATTTATTATCAGTTTTATTTAGCAATTGACGATTACTTTTCTTCTTTATGAAAAAATGATAAATTGAGCTTGAAAGAAAGCAAATTTTAGAATATGCTAAATGGAAACATTTTTGTTAAAATAAAACCAAAAATATGATTTAATTTTAATTAACCGAAAAAATTAAATTTTTTAACAAGTAATTTCATTTATGTCTTCATTAAATTTTCCCAATATTATTTTGTCTCATTCAAATTTATTTTTCGCTTTATCTCATTTAAAATTTTTATATTCTCTTATTTAAAATCTTTTCATGCTTCCCTTTTTAAAATAATATTTTTAGATTGCAAATGCTGAAATGCAAAGAGGAAATATGAAATCATTAAAATTGTTTGTAATTGGCGCATTTCTGATGATTGTTTATATTGCATGCGTTTTGCACCTGTTTACATTGAAAAGTAAGGTGAGAAAATATTTGCGCCATCAATTTTTACCATTCTGTTTTTATTGTTTTTTTTTTTTGGTTGTAAATGTTTTCGTATTATTAACTAATAAATTCAAAAAAAAATTTTTTTTAAACGATTAAATATAATTAAACATAAGCGTGCTTTTAAAGCATTTAAATGAAACGAAAAGTATGTAAATGAAATGAAAATTTTGTTTCATTAGAAGGATTCATTTAGAAAATCATATAATAAGATTTCTTTTTTCTTTTGAACTGCTGAATAATTTAAATTGATTAATTTTTCAAGTATTTAATGCAATTCAAATAATATTCGTATGTAAAAATTTCGTTTAACAAATTTTAAAAATTAAGAAAATAATTCTGTTTTATTTCTTTCGAATGGGAGCATTTTTAAATTTCTCACATTAGAAAAATAAAAATATGCGCAAATTTTTAGATTTTGATTATATCGGCAGCAATTGCATCACCTTTGTTAGCAACAATCGTTTCATTCGCTTTAATGCAATGGTTCAAAATTTCTATTACATCAATAATGGGCCTTATACCATTGCTAATGATGGGAATAGGTAATGTCGCCCAGCATTATCAATACAATTCTAATTTAATCATTTCAGAAACATAAAATAAATAGAAATTGCATTTTGATTAAATCAAATTGCTAAATTATTACAGTTTTTGTATTTAAATGAGGAAATGCAAAACGAAAAAATTTCTTATTTATTGTATTTTTAATGATTATTGTTAGCAACAAATAATAATAATGCCTACAAAATTCATGACTTCCATAGAAATTTTAATATTTTCATTATTTCTGATTAAGTAATCAATTAAAGACTATTTGTGTTATCTTTATATATCATTTTTTCCTATGCTGGTTTAATTATTAAGATTTAAAAAAGATTAAAAATTATCAGTAGCTATTAATTTTACAATTTTTTACATGATAAGTTCAAGTTTGTTTGATAAGTTTTATTTTAGGTGTTGATGATGCATTTCTTTTAATTCATGGTTGGCAAAATTACTCCTCAGTTCCGGATGTAAAAAAACGTATGACAAGTGTGATCAATGCAGTTTGGCCAAGTATCAGTATTACATCAGTTACTAATGTTCTTGCATTTGCTGCTGGCTCAGTTACTGCACCACCTATGGTTATTTTTAATTATGCAAAAAAAAAGAAAAATTAAATTTAAGAAATTAATTCATTGGGAATTTTTTTTCTAAACAAACAAATAAGATTAAATCAATCATTGATAAATAATTGACACGTTATCAAAACATGTTATATAAATTAAAAATTAATAAAGCTCATATGCTATATGGTTTATTTTTCATTCTAAAATGAATAAATTTTGCAAATTCTTAAAATCAGCATTAATTAATGAGAATATTACATTATAAGCAGGGTGTAAAATATTGTTGAAATAAAATTAATTTTTGTTAATCGTATTAAAATTAACAAAATAGTTTTAGATGAGTTCATTTTGTCTGTGCATGTTAATAGCAGTTGCAATGGATTATATTCTTGAATTAACCATTTTTACTCCAACACTTGCTCTTTCGGCACATTTTGAGCGTAATGATCCTGATGAAATTGAAAAACGACGATCGTTATGGTTTGATTATTTCATTCCCATTCTTATTTGAATATCAAAAATGAAATATAAAAATTTGAAAATTTTTACATTTCATTTCTATCTTATCCTTTCTTTTTATTAATTATTGCGCTTAACAAAACTTTTGATGGTTTTTAAATTTTAAAATGCGTTGATTGATTCAGTTTTTTTTCAACTACAATTTTAAAAGGAAAAAAGTAACATATCAATTCTTTCCAATATTTTATTTAATGCTATTGAATTTTTTTTTTTTTTTGCAAAAATTATCATTGAAAAATCGATCGAAAGAATTTTGTTTCAAAATAACACAAATTGCGCTAATAATTTTAGCTATTCAACTTCTCGTTGGATTTTACTTTCTCGATTTGTTTCATCTAAAAGTGGCTTTGTGCTTATCGTTTTAATGCAAGTAATTTTGTATATTATTGCTACCATTGGTCTTACGCGCATGGAGGCAAATTTTGACCCGAGCAAAACATTCTCGTCTGATTCAAAATTAATGACGTGTGTAAAAATTGTTGATTTTATTTATCGTGAGGTGAAAATTCATTTCGTA